GAAACCCACAACCTTCCTCTAGTTCTTAAATGCTTCCTCCCCCCAACTACCATGACCCCAATTCTGCCTTGCAAACCTGGTTAGACCAGAGGATGCACAGCGATACAGATGGGAATTGGAAACGCAGGGAATCTAGGACAGATGAACCCCTCAGGATCAGGGATGACGGTAATACCAGGAGGGAAGGGGTGGGGGGTAGAAAGGGGAAATTGATCACAGGGATCTACATATAAACAAATTCTTAATGTGGCAGCAGCAGCTAACAATTCATGTCTCGCTCTGCAGACAACCGTGTGGGCAACTGCTACCTGAAGTTTGGTCCTCGAGGCGACGGGAGTCTGTCTTGCAACACTGAGATTGGGGTGGGTGTCAGTCGCTCCTCCTGCTGCTGCTCTCTGGGGAAGGCCTGGGGAAATCCCTGTGAGACATGCCCACCTGTCAATAGCAGTAAGTATGGCGCTGGGGAGGGGAGCCCCCCCTGGGATCTAAAGACTGGTTGTCCTTGTATTCCCGCCTGGGCTGGAGGGCTGGGGAAGTAGTGAGGACAGAAAATTACATTTTGGACAGCTTTCAAATATTATGCTGAAACCAGCTAAGAGTATTTTACATAACAGGTATTTACATTCCCTCACCTTACTGTTTTCATGAGGTGAAAAACAAAACAAAATCTTCCGTCCGAAATTGAATAGCCATAGGACCAATTCTCCAGACCAAAGATGAAGGCCGCTCCTGGTTCTTCTCGAAGGTTGCTTAGTTCCGGTTCATAGGGATGTGTTGTATTCCTTAAGTCAATCGTAGAATGCCGTCCTTTGAAACATTATTTTCTGATAGTGCCACAGACCAAAGCCTTTATACTCTGGAGTTTTCACTTGCTAACCAAAAAGTTACGAAGTGAATTGTCTGCGAGGGATTTTTTTTTTCTTTAATTGAAAACAAATGGTTTTTGGTATTCTACTGGGTATATAAATTTATGAAGAAGTGATCTTATTTCATCTAAAATGTAATAAATATTACTTTAAATCTATTTGAAAAGACACTGAGGAAAATATGACCATGCCCCTTGGGGTGGGTGTTTTGACCCTGGCAGCTGCTGGATTCCTGCTCTGTGCCCCAGCCCTTTCAATCGAAATATCAAATCTCGTGTGTTCTGTTCTTTTGCAGCTGAATATTACACCCTGTGTCCCGGAGGGGAAGGCTTCAGACCTAACCCCATTACCATCATCTTAGAAGGTGAGCTCACCAGCGTCACCCATACTGAACCAAATTGACAGGAGGTTTACATTGGAGAAAACTGATAGAAAAGCTAATGTCGAACAATCCCAAGAAAGCGAATAAGCGAAATTACAGATGGTCAATCAGTGACGACGATGATAAAGGACCATTTATTTTTATTTGAAGATAACAGTCCATTGCAGTGATCCTCCTGTTTGATTGTTCTGAAGAAATGCTAGTGTTATGATTATCCCCAAGTGAAATCATCCCTCTTCTCTTTAATCATGGTTTTCGAGTCAGGGCACATTTTCAGCACAACACCAAGAAAGCCCATGGTGGATGGGAATGAAAGAATACCGAGAGTTTAATTTTAGATGTGCTAACTTTGAGAAAAATTTTAGATAACATGAGAAGAGAAATCAAACAGCAGGTAGATCTAGAATTTAGGGGATAGGGTAAAAAAAATGTGTTCATTTGAGTTTTCTCAGCAACAAAGATATCGTTTAAAACCATGGGGATCCAGAAAGTAATTGTAGATTACTTTGTTGTTGGATTAACCCATTCACTTGGATACGTGGAAGCCTGCAGGTCTTACAAGGTCGCAGGTGTGAAAGTACCAGCCATAACTCTTCTCTGTCAAGGTGGCACGTGTCTTAAGCCAGCTTGTCTCCCCTTTTGCAGACATCGACGAATGTCAGGAGTTACCAGGGCTCTGCCAGGGTGGAAACTGCATCAACACTTTCGGGAGCTTCCAGTGTGAGTGCCCGCAAGGCTACTACCTCAGCGAGGAAACCCGCATCTGTGAAGGTAAGGTACTCAACACTTTGTGAAACAACAGTCCTCTTCAGGCCTGGGGAGAAGGGCCCTGGCCTCAGATGGCATCAAAGATGAGGTAACACTGCCAGTCATCGCTGCTTTCTGTTCAGATCCACACTGTTTACGTGTATGATGATGAAGAAATCAGTTACAGTTCAGGTGCTGCAATTTACTGGGGGGTGAGGGGGAGTTGCTCTGAGTAAATAGCTTGATCAAAAATAAATGGCAAATTGGAGGTGGTGTGAAGCCATCAAACATCAGATAAGTTCAAATGTTAAGGTACATTATGTCTAGCAATAAGATCAAATGAACTATTAAATGAACATTGTGGCAGTTTTTAAAGGTTAGACTACAACGTTTTAAGTTGTTCAAAGGCTGTATGAGCACCTTTTTTGCTTCCGTCACCCTACTTATCAAATGACCTTTCAATCGTCGCCCTGGGCCCCGTCTGCCCACTAGACTGCGAATGTCTTTGGACAAGGTCTGTAGTTTTATAGCTGTAAGCACGGGTGTACAGAAGACTCTCAAGTTTTGTTTAATGAAGTTATAAGCAAATACTTCTAAAATTGAACACTGAATATGTAACATAATTCTTTCCATCATAGCCTTTGTTTTGGAGAATCTTAAGATACATGCAGCTAGAAGAAATGAGATTTACTTGGAGACAAGCAGCAGTGATGCTGCTTCTAGAATCTCCAAATGGTTAGTAATTTGAAAAGAGCTAGAGGTTAAGGTTCACCTGTCCTGTGACCACATTTAGGTTGGCATTAAAATTTAACTTACAGGACATGAGAGAAAGATTTAAAACAAATTCATTTGAAATCTCAATAACATTATAGGTAACATTTAAATTATTTTACACCACTTCGGGATAATTTCTTTTGACCATTTATGTTTTGGAATATTGGGTTGTTTTTTTCTTTTAAAGAAAGACACAAACCATGTCATTCAGATACAGGCAGTCCCTGGGATCAGAACATCCTACTTAGGAACAGTTTGAACTTGCATGAATTTGGAGGATCACCCATAATATCGGGAATAAGATGAGGCTTTCTACTTCTGTAAAGAGTTACAGACTTGGAAACCCACAGAGGCCGTTCTGCCGTGTCACTATGAGTCAGAATAGACTCGATGACAGTGAGATTGATCACTTTGTCCACAATTTAAATAATACAAATTCCTTAGGAAAAAAATGTCATTCATTAATGGGAATGTTTGTCTATTCTAGATATTGATGAATGTTTTGCACATCCTGGTGTGTGTGGGCCAGGGACCTGCTACAACACCCTGGGAAATTACACCTGCATTTGCCCACCTGAATACATGCAGGTCAACGGAGGGCACAACTGCATGGGTAGGTGAATTATTGTTCAGAAAGTTTGGAAATTAAATGTTCATGGTTGATGAAAAGTTTTGAGATCCTCATAACTCCCAACGCACCTTGGTGGCACAGTGGTTAAGTGCTTGATGGCTGAATGATAGGTCAGCAGTAACAAACCACCGGCTGCTCCATGGGGTGACCCTGGGGGATTCTCCTGCCACACAGATTACAGCCTTTGAAACCCTGTGAGCCAGTTCACCTCTGTCCTGCAGGATGGCTATGATTTGGAATTGACTCAACAGCAATGGGTTTTAGAAACTTCTGGACCTGTACCGTGTTTCTAAACTTTGGTTATATACTTACAGCATTTCAAAAAGCTATTACATTGTCTGATATGTTTTATTTTACACTTAGATAAAGTGAAATACAAATTAAGAGAATAACTGTTAATACTGGCTACTTTCTAAATTATGCTTTTGAGTAGAGAAACATCTATAAGTGTACTTTCCCCCAAAAATCGTAAACAATAATTATCGAAAACAGAAGAGATATTAAACTTAAAATGAATTAGGTTTAACTGGGATACCTTCAAATGACTGAGACATTTTTCAAAGTTTTGTGCATGACCGAGTATGTTGCTCATAGATGGTGCCGGCTTTGTTATTAGCAAGGTAATGTTGTGCCTGAGTAGCTTACTTGTTTTTCTGCACGTAGACATGAGAAAAAGCTTTTGCTACAGAAGCTATAATGGAACCACTTGTGAGAATGAGTTGCCTTTTAATGTGACAAAGAGAATGTGCTGCTGCACCTATAATGTGGGTAAAGCCTGGAACAAACCTTGTGAGCCATGCCCAACCCCGGGAACAGGTAAGCAGGCAGCTCCTTCAGTGAGAGGAGTATACATAGATATGTGTGTCTGTGTGTTTATATAATGGCAAATAATGTATGTGGCTTATATACTCATGCACACGTCTCTATCACATATACAGACAAGTGCGTATATGTGTGTACACAGATATATATGCATATGTATCTGATGTGTATACAGATGTGTGTGTATGTACACTGATATATATACTGACAGAATACACACACTCATAAAAGAGGGGCTTTGAAAGTTCATGGAAAAATAGAACTAAACGATACTGGACTTCCCACAATCTTTTGGAAGCCCCGTTGTGTGTGTGTGTGTGCGCGTGTCGCTGTATATTAATATGTTTCATAAATGCAGACATATGCTAATCCCAGAGAGTAACATGGGGGCCAGTCCCCAGGTAGCCCTCCGTGAGGTTCAGACACTAGTTTTCAGACACGTAATTGGAGAGACTGCTGAAGGCTGATCATAGGCACAACTGCAAGAAGAGTTTATAGCACTAGTCCACGTAAACTCCTTATCTCAAGTTCTGCTGTCCAATTATTCATTTATTCTTGGAATGAATAGTTGTGCAGCCATTACCACATGCCAAGCACTGAGCTAGACCTGGATCGTGTAGTATTTTGCTAAAATATATATGATAATCTATAACTGTCAACTTCAGTATTTCTGGTCCAACCTTGAAAATTACACTAAAAAAAGAAACAAAAAACCCAAGTACTTTAATAGCAAAGTGTACCTAAAAGCAACATATATAAAGGGACTCCAAAAAGTTCGTGAACAATGGAATGAAAAGATAATGGAGTTTTTCCAGACTTTTGAAGCACCTTGTTTGTCAAAGTGATTTTTATTTGTACTCATCAGAAAATTCTAGACAGAATTCTAGCTTGTTCTCCAGAGCCATATTCTCCTCACAAACATAGATTCATATGAAAGATAGTGCAGATTATAGTTATATGTTGACACTCTTGTCCTTTAATGCCCGGGAAACTGATCATTTTCATTAACTAGCGGTTACAAGTTAGGCTGCAGACTGCAAGGTCAACAGTTTGTAAGAGCCTGCCACTCCTGG